CTTCGTTGGGTGACTTCCAATCCCGAACGTCATGGCACAATTTGGTATTCGTTGCAAGACAATATGGTGTGTAAAGCAGTTCTTACTAGAGGGAGGTCCTCTTCGTGGGGCCTTAATGTGTATTGTAGGAAGAAAGCTGCTTTGTGTTTGGCAGCTCAGATTCGCTTGTTGCTGCCGTGGGTGCAGACATCCATTATGCCCGCGGACGCTGCTTCAAGGAATCAAGAATGAGTGGAGGCCAATTTGCTTTCGCATGCCTCCCTCGTGAGCTGGATCCACACCATATTGCGTCAGTCAAGGCGTCTACATACAACATCTATCAGCAGTGCTTGCAGCGATTCGTGATTTTCCTTATAGATTCCGGTGCAAATCCAGCTTCGGCTGCAGAGCTGGACCTCCTGATTTTGCAGTATAAATCTTCCAGACATCTGTCGCATTCAAAACTGGAGCAGTTGATCGCAGCGCTGGAGTTTCATTTATTGCCTCTTAAAGGGCTGCTTCCGTATTCCAAGCGCGTTGCAAAGGGCTTGTGCCGGGTGACCCCGATCAGGCACACGTCGCCTTTGCTTTCAGGTCCAGCAAAACTGTTTGCAGTGCATTTTGTGGCAGTGGGATTTCCTTGCTTGGGAGTGGGCCTTGTGGTACAGTGCCTCACGGGTCTGCGCCCTAGTGAGTTGCTCAGGCTGCATGAGCAGGATGTGTTACGGCCTTCTGCATCGTGCCCTAAATTCATATTTCGTTTGGGAGTGGGATTGGGCACTAAAGTTCGGCGTGAGCAAACTGCATCTTTTGATTGTGCACGCGATCCTGTGGTGGCTGGTGTGCTCTTGCAGTTGTTGCAAGAAGTGGAGCCACAGACTGCTTTGTTCCCAGTTTCGTATGCTCAGTACCGCCAACTCCTGGCCCAAGTGGGGACGCACTTGGGGCTGGAAGTCCGTTTTACTCCGCATTCTCCCCGCGCAGGGTTTGCGACTGAGGAATACTCCAGGGACTGCCACGTCGCGGACATTCGTCAACGGGGACGTTGGGCATCCGAGCAGTCGTTCAAGACCTACCTGGACGTCGTGTCGGCCGCGCACGTGCAGTCAGCTTTCCATTTGCGGGGCGTGGGGCAAGCCCAAGCCTACAGTGAGACGCATTTTGCTGATTTCTTTCCTTCTGGAGTTTTCAGGTCGAGCCATGGTTGAGAGCGTGTTGGATTTTGACGGCTTCGAAATCCCAGATGTCCCGACGCTTCAAGGTCTTCCACAGGCTATGCCCCTTCCCTCACGTCGCACGCGGCGTGCCCAACCAACTATTCGTCATACTAGGGCCCGGACGCCCGGAGCTAACAAACTCAGACAATTTTCGCAGCGACCATCTTCGGCGAGGCATGCCGCATCCTCGAATGAGGCACCCACGGCACCTCGTCCCCGTCCTCACCGAGTGCTGTTGCGCTCTCGCCTGGGTAGGTGGTGGACGCGGCTTTCAAGGTTCAGCAGGCATGGCGCTTTCTGGATCTGTATGCTGCTTCTCTTGGCTCAGTGCTTTCAGTGGGGCTTCGTCGAGCAGCTCACTCGCCTACTGGCTTCCGTGGCTTTGGTCTCAGAGCGGGCCTCGGTAGCAGCAGCGGGGGTCTTGGACCATGGCGCTGAGCTGGCTTCCACCACTTCTTCAGCGGTTATCGCCTTCACCACCGGCTCGATGGACCTCGTACGCACCGCGTGGATTGGCGTAGATCTTTTGGACCTCCGCTGCACTTCCACGGAGGGCTCGGTAATGGGTGCTCATGGCTCTGTGTTGGCGGATTGGCTCAACTCTACGAGCGGACATGCCGCCACCCGAACCAACCGCTCCGAGGTGCTCGTCCTGTGGGCTTCGCTGGTTACTTCAGTCGGCGTTGCGCTTCCACATGTCGCGTCAACGGCTTCTGATTTGGATGTCGATGGCCTGTTTTGGACGGCTACTGGTTCGGCGCACGTGCTGCCCAACGGCTACCTTATGTTCGCATTTCGGTATGTTGAGGTGCGATTTGTGCCCCAGTGGGCCAATCCGCTGTGGCAAGCCCTCAGTGTGGACATCACGGCCCAACACGATCAGATACAACGCCTTGTCAGCAACGTCAGTGCCTCCCTGCCGGCTGCATCCCATCCCTTAGCCAGCACTACAATGGTTGATGTATCGTGGATGCATTTATCCATGCGGCTTTGGTTGTATGCTCAAGTCCTGCTCCGCGCCGTGATGCTACACTTTCGGTCCTTGCTGACTGTGATGGCCACCTTGCGGG